CAGCTGGGTACCCCCCACTCATACAGGGGACAGGGAGAGCTACACACGGGCCATAATCCGGGCACCAGCTGCAGGCCATAACCCTGGAACAATATATTAGTAGAAAAGTAATCCAGGTACTCCAAAATGTTCCAAAGAGTAGGCAATTTTATTGGACCCAAGAACCAAAATGCAACATTTCGACCCCTTAGGGCCTTTATCAAGCTCCCTTTGTAACCCTGGAACAAGTCATCAGCACTTAACATGCACTAATTGCAGAGCAGGGAGCATATCGTCAACACAGGTCATTACAGCACTGGAAGGGTGTGTATGTATCTCTGTATCCGTGTGTGTGTGTATGTATGTATGTATGTATATGTATGTGTGTGTGTGTGTGTGTGTGTGTGTATATATATATATATATATATATATGTATGTGTGTGTGTGTGTGTGTGTGTGTGTGTGTGTATATATATATGTATGTATATGTGTGTGTGTGTATGTATGTATGTATATGTGTGTGTGTATGTATATGTATATGTATATATATATATATATATATATATATATATATATATATATATATATATATATATATATATATATATATATATATATATATATATATATATGAAGAGATGATGGCTTGGCACTCTCCTTAAAACAGAGAATCAATATACTACTTGCCTGGGTGCAAATCTTAAGCGTCAATAACATAAAAATAAAAAATTCAAGATGCACTCACAGGTCTTCAAATATAAGGAAAAAACTGGTGCTTTATTAATCCATACGTGATATACAACGAAAATCAATCGACGTTTCGACCCTGCCGGGTCTTCTTCAAGATCTTGAAAAAGACCCGGCAGGGTCAAAACGTTGATTGATTTTCGTTGTATATCACGTATGGATTAATAAAGCACCAGTTTTTTCCTTATATTTGAAGACCTGTGAGTGCATCTTGAATTTTTTATTTATTTATATATATATATATATATATATATATATATATATAGATATATATAGATATATAGTATGTATGTATTTACCAGTAGCTGCTGCATTTCCCACCCTAGGCTTATACTCGAGTCAATAAGTTTATCCAGTTTTTTGGGGTAAAATTAGGTGCCTCACTTATATTCGGGTCGGCTTATACTCTAGTATATACGGTACTTACAAATCATGAGTATTTGGAGGGGAGTGGATTCTTTCCTTGGGGTTCAGTATGACTGTTGTCATCTTCTTGCTTTTCTTGCTCTGCTACCTCGCACAGGGTTTAGTGATGTCAGGGCTGTAGTGACATTATATCCCGACTCCTGGCATCACAGTGGCGAGGGAACAGAGCAAGAAAAGGAGGAAAATTACAGCTCCCTCGCCACCGGCCTCCGCTGCTTGCAGCCACCCGCCAGGCGACTTTTCGATCCCTGATATAGGGTGTGTGTAAGCTGCCTGTTTTAAAATCTGTAAAGCAGTTTTTAGTTTTTTTGTTTTAAATGCAATAAATGTCTTCTAACTCTTCCTTTAAGCACACATTAAAGTGAACCTGTCAAGACAAATATAGGTTTGCAGTTTTCTAACCATCTGGCTTGATTCATGTTATACAGTTAAGTGTATTTCACTTAAGACTATTAAATGTAATATTTTTAATTAATTTCTATTTCCCTGTCTCCTGCTGAGATCATCAATCAGTGTTTTCAGTTGGTGTTAAACTAGCTGAAAGAAAAACATCTCCTGCATGCCCCTGTTTGTTTGTTTTTAGGGTTGTTTACAGATTCTCAGGATCTCCCTTTGTCTATGGTGCAATACTAAAGTGTATTTTTGGTTTCTGTGCCTCAGATGCCCAAACTTTTTTCATTTTCTCTGTTAACCTAGATATTAGGAAGATATGGCTTCCTCGGATCACAGGGTGTCGTCCTTATACCAAGTTGTCTTTTAGATCAGGTGGATCGATGGGTACATTATGGCAAAATGTTTGTAATTAATATAGTTGCGTTATTTCAAATTTTTATATTTTTCTCTGTGGCATCTCCCATTTTTCTCTGTCCGAGGCTCTCCCTGCTCCTACTCTACACCAAGCTCCCTCTGCTTTTCCAGGCTCCCACTGCTTCTCCTCTACTCTAGGCACATCAGTCTAGTGTATATATCAGGGTTAGCAACCGTTTAGTAGTACTGTGCCAAAACAAGATCTTGAAGTCCCATGACGTGCTGGTCCTATTTTTTTATTTATGTATTTATTTATTTTAATTAAAGTTTGTATGTTGCCGTTTTGTGCTTCTGTTATTTATGGGTGCTCCAATTGCTTTGTAACATTGTATTTGTGTGCATGTGGGCTGTATATTGTATATGTTCATGAATTGTGTAAGATGCCTTTGAATGTGGGCTGCTTATGGTGGTTACTTGTGGAATTGTGTGTTTGGATGATATATCACATTGCGTGTTTGGTGTGTATGTGTGGCTTGTGGTATTGCATGTGAGAGGCTGCTTTTGGGGTTGTATGTGTGTATGTGGATTGTCAGTGGTGTTGTGTTTGTGGAGACTGTGCGTGTTTGTGTGTGGGCTGTTTGTATTATTTGTATGAGGGACAGGCTTCATTTGCAGCTCTGTATATATCTAGCAGTGTGGGTGGGTTCCCTAGGCTCCAGTGGGACAGATGACCAGGTGCTGGTCAAGGGCAAAAACTGCGATAGCTGCTGTAGGCTGCTTTACTACAGCATGGAGTCCAATTCATAAGTGCTGGCAGGAAGAAATCTGAGATCACTTCCTCTAAGTGCTGCAATGCATATATTGAGGATTATCCCTCACCACCTTCAATCACCACTCGGGTTGCACTGAGTCTGTTTGGCTCTGGCAGCCTTGAGTGCCATGCAAAGGCACCTCGAGTTCCATGCATGGCCCACGTGCTATAGGTGCTGACGTGCTGACCCCTGGTATATACAGTGCAGATACAAACACTGACACTCAAATACAGACACAAACACACATATCGGTCCAGATAAACACACTGACACATGCCGATACAAACACTGGTATACATGCAGGTACAGACACACAAAAACACACATACAGACATAGATAAAAATACTGACACACATGCAAATACACAGACACCCAGAAACAAACAATGACACGTATAGATACACCAGCAGATACACAGACACACACATACACGCAGATACACTGACACACATCTAGATACACAAACACACAGAAGCAAACCATGATACACATCTAGATAAACAGATACAAACACACATACATACACACACACTGTACACACACTAACATACACACACTGGCATACACACATACACCTCATCCCCAGCCACCCTCCTCTCTTCCTTACCATTTCGTCGCAGGAGGGTGGCTGGGGATGATGGGCATCGGCTGCCTCTCCTCAGGCTGCGTCCTCCTTCCCGCGCGGAGTAAAGTGGGAGGAAGTGACCAGACGTCACTTCCTCCCAGCAGCACTTGCATTTTTTTTTAAAAGGGGCCCACTTTTTAGGGCCCGGTTGCGCTATTACAGCGCTGATCAGGCCCCTGAAGATAATAGGGCCCATTGGGTGGCCCTAAATGATTGGGCCACCTGATGGGCCCCATCAGCGTGTGGGCCCCGGTGCAGATGCACTGGCGGCAGTTCCGCTTATCCACGTGGGGCCCGGGTCCCCCAGGGCCGCCGGGCCCGTGACAATTGTCACGGTTGTCATGCACAGCACACACTGCATTTACTAATCAAATACTCTCACTGCATCCACTACACACACACATAATCTTGAAAACATAAAAAAATATATTTTGTGCATTTACCTTAATAAAAAAAAAAAGATTTGCAAAAATAAATAAATAATAAACATGTTCAATTAACAGTAGATTTGTGTAGAAATAGTTTATTTTTTCAAAATGGTAAATGTACAGAATATCGGTAAGCTATCGGCCTGAAAGTTCACAGAGTATCGGTATCGTCTCTAAAAAATAAATATCGGTCGATCCCTAATCTGAAATGCCTCTACACACTGCCCCACTTCTGAGCCTTAGCTGCAAGTTAGAACAGCTCCATGGTTAATGTCATTTAAGATCCTCCAGCGCTGCCGTCTGTGAGGGAGCTTTGCAGGCTCTCATTTAATAAAGGCCCTACTTTGATGCTGCTGGCCAATTGAGTCTTGTTCAGGAAGATACAGCTCTCTCCCCAGTGGGACCCATGCAGGCCCCTGAGCTGGACTGAGAACCTTACCAGGGTACTGCCTACTAGAAGGCAGCACTGGACACAGTCTTACTGAACAACAACAACTAACTGGCTTTTGGAAACAAATGTACAATTATTTTTCATGGACACTTATTTTTTTTACATTTTTTTTCTTCTTTTTCAAAGGACCTCCAGTTCAGTGCGGTGTTCAAACTGCAATTCTTATCGTAAACCAGAGTGCAGGTTTTATCTCTGAATCACCACTGCTTGTGTCATAATGGAATAATCCGTGATCCAGCAATTTTTACTGTGAAAGCACATTTGTATTTGATACAAATCCAAAGATAGATTGAGGGTTTACTTAAAGTGACACTCCATGCATCATTAATGACACCAGTTTATTGTAGTGGATGCTGTAAATCAGTAAATTCCCTATGACCCTTTCCCTCTGATGTTATAATGAGGAATTTAATTTCTTCAATATCTGTACAAGATTTCTCCAAAAGGGATTGCTTTCCATTTGCCAACATAGAAATTAATTGGCATAAGCCGATAATGTGCACTCACTCTATACAAATTTGGTACAGAAAATGAGGAAGCTAAATTTATTTTGAAATCTGAGCCACAGAATGGTGGACTTTTTAATCGTGTGTAAAGGTACACTACAGGTTGAAACTTTGCCTCTCCCTCCCTCAAATAAGTATAAGATAAAATTTATATCTACCGTTGCTATGTCTGCAGTAAATTCCTAGTCTTAAAAAAAAAAAAAAAAAAAAAGGAAAATAAAAGAAATGTGCCTTAGAAATGAGAGATGCTTTAACAGTAGGGAGCTATTTATTGGCTTAGAGCATCAGCTGACGCACTAAGCCAGGGTTGTCCAACCTGCGGCCCCCCAGATGTTGCTGAACTACAACTCCCATGATTCTTTCAATTAAACATATAGCCAGGGAATCATGGGAGTTGTAGTTCAGCAACATCTGGGGGGCCGCAGGTTGAACAGCCCTGCTCTAAGCCATCAGCAGCAACCCTGCCTGGGGGCACTCCATGCTTCCTGAAACTGAGATTCAGAAGCCGGATGCCACCTGGGGGACCTGCAGATCGACACTGGAGACACACTTTCCAGTTAAACAGTTCGAGAATGGTTTAACTCCTTAAGGTAAGTGTGCGCCCAGGGACCTCCTGGCACCATAACAACTTAATTTAGATGAAATTGTTATGGTAACCAAAGTGTCTCTTTAAGCTAAAGTTGTGTTGATGGATGTAGTATCTAAAAAATACATCTGTAATAGGATAGAAATTCAACTACATGCTAAACTGCTCAGTCCAGGCACAGCCAAAGCATACAATGCAAATGTGGAAGGATAAAGTAAACATTGATTTATTTATTATTTTTTTTCATATTCAATGGCAGAAAAGGTCAACATTCATAATGGTTGACAGGCAGCCATGATGGAGTTGCTCAGTTCCGAAATAAAAATGTGTGGATTTCTACATTTCATTTTATTTTTTGGACCAAAAAAAAAATTTATTTGCTGAATAAATATATAAATACATGAAAGATTAAAAATCATTTGAAGTGATTTGTTCCTTTTAATGTAGCTGTTTTATAATCTGTAGTCTGTGTTTTCTCAAAGATTTGAATCAGGTGTATTGTGGGGGTGCTAACCTAGGATGGAGACACAACTGTGCTTCTGAAATGTGTGTGTGTGTGTGTGTGTGTGTGTGTGTGTATATATATATATATATAATATAGTGTGTATATATTACATTGCTAAACACAAATACACACACCAGTCAAGCCACAAGACTTGTTGTCCCACAGAAATCTCACTTTAACAGTGCTCTCACTACTGCAAGGGATTCTGGGTAGACATAGGCAAATGAGATCAACAAAGAACCAAATTTTTTCACATTTCCACTTTATACATGGTTTCCTTGAAGTATGTCTGCTGTATACAACAGCTTTGAAACACAACTCATGAAGAGGAGCAAATCCAGTGAACCACTCATGGATAACTGTTTCATTGTTAATGCAACTCATCAGCATGAGGCTGGTTACTGGCTTGCTATAAAATCCATGCATAAAGTGGAATTGAGGCAAAAAATGTGGTTCTTTGTTGAGCTCATTTGCATATGCCTACCCAGAATCCCTTGCAGTAGTGAGAGGACTGTTAAATGGAGATTTCTGTAGGAAAAGCAAGTCTTATGGCTTGACTGGTGTGTGTATTTGTATTTAGCAATGTATTAACTATCCACTTCAGGTGGAAGGGGTTTTCATCCACACTTTTTTCCCCACCACAACTATGTTGGTGTGTGTATGTATGTGTGTGTATGTATGTATGTATGTATGTTTGTAAAGTTTCAAATATAAGCTTTTTATCTTTATAGTGTGTCTGAATGTATTATATATTAGGATGACTGGCGTACATACCACAGTTTCATCTGCGACCAGGCCCGGCCGCCCTGCGACCTGGGTATGTATGCCAGTTTGCCAGCCTCTTCTCCTGGGGGGCCTAGGAGCTGGCTATTTCAGGGCCCCCCGAGGCTGGCAGTGGTGTTACCGGGCGAGGGAGCATTCTCCCCTGAGTGCTCTCTGCTCAGCTCCCTCGCACGCACCGCAGTGATACTGGAGCCGGAAAATGACGTCATTCCGGCTCTGGCATCAGTAAGCGGCGCGCGAGGGAGCTGAACAGGAGGATTAGTGTTCCCTCGCCGCCTGCAGGACCGGCCGCCCAGCAGCCCCACTGGACCCCAGGGAAATCTGGAATCCCCTCAGCACAATCAAAGGTAGGGAGGCTGGGGGATTAAATAAAAAGAAAAAAAGTGTGTTTGTGTCTGTTATTGAGTGTGTTGGTTGTGTGTGTGTGTGTGTGTGAGTGTGTTACTGAGTGTGTTAGTGTGTGTCTGTTAGTGAGAGTGTGTTTTGTAAGTGAGTGTGTATGTCTGTCAGTAAATGTGTGTGTCTGTTAGCTAGTGTGTATGCGTCTGTTCTTGAGTGTGTGTGGTTAAAACCCCTTCAGCACTTACCTTTCTCCAGCGGGGGATCTCTCCGCCCCGATCCGCCTCTCAGCTCCGCATGCGCGGCAAGAGCCGTGCGCATTCAAACTGCCCGTAGGAAAGCATTACTCAATGCTTTCCTATGGACGTCCAGCGTCTTCTCACTGTGATTTTTACAGTGAGAGTCGCGGAAGCACCTCTAGCGGCTGTCAGTGAGACAGCTACTAGAGGCTGGATTAACCCTCAGTGAAACATAGCAGTTTCTCTGAAACTGCTATGTTTTCAGCTTCCAGGTTAAAATTAGAGGGACTTGGCACCCAGACCACTTAATTGAGCGGAAGTGATCTGAGTGCCTATAGTGGTCCTTTAAGTGTATGTGTGTCTGCATTGTGCAGTGTGTATGTCATTACATAATTTAGCATGGGTTTATCATGGAACTAAGCAGTACCTTGTATTACTGTATCACAGAACTCCTATAGCAATGTGTATGTATCATGACATAATTTGTGTCAGCGCGTTATATAGATATATATAGATATATATATATATATAGAGAGAGAGAGAGAGATATAGATATATGTGTGTGTGTGTGTTTGTTTTTTTTCTTTTGTGGATTATAAATTCATGAACACGAAACTAAATAGAACTGTTGTCCTGTATTTCTTATTTATTCTAGTATAACACACACGGTTTTGCTCAGAAGAGTTAACAAACATTTTTAAATTTAGCTGTGTTTGCTTTGACTTTCTTGGAAGTACATGGGTTTTAATGCCTGCTAAAAAGTAACACCTTTTTCTTACATAGTGTTCTTAACTGGAGCACTTTACAATTTAAGTGAAAAGGCTGCGGGCTTTAGTCCAGCTCCTGCTGCACCTCTAGCAAAGTGCTGTGGAAATAGCTAGTGAGAGTCAAGTTTTCAAGGGGGGTAGTATACATTGAGACAATGGCTATTATGGAGAAAATGTAGAAATTGTGCATGGCTGTTGAGAAGTATACGGGCTATAGTATTTTTGATTTGTTGCCATGGAGTGATGGCGTGTTGTGGTAGGCCTGCTGCACTAATTTGCAGGAGTTGTGCTAATTAATCCTGATGAAGATTGGATAAGGACTTTTGCAGAAGAGACTGTTAGTAGCAGTCAGATATTCCAGATCGTCAAACGTTCTAAACAGACAGAATTAACCATGCATATATGTTTGTCAAAAATGAAAACTCTACTACTTCCTCTGATGTCTGGAGTATAAATCCACATAGTAGGAGAAACCAGGGACAATGTGTCCCATGTTACTCTCACTAGACCCATATAACCGCAAATATGGAATGCACTAGTACTGCATTTTCTGCACTGCTAAATTCAGATCATAATGCCATTTTTCTTTAGTTTGTGGGTTTAACTTTTTTTTAATTTTTTTTTTTAAGGCTTTTCCTCGCCTCACAAAAGGGAGGAATGTGGCCAACACAGCTATCCAGTATAATCTGAATGTTAAAAGAACACTCTTGGCGTTGAAGTTGTTATGGTGCAACGAGGGCCCTGGAGTCTGGATACCATTACGGGTTAAACAGTTAGGCCTGTTATCTCTTTCTCTCTATTTTCTATTCTCACTAACCTTCCTTAAAGGGACATTTTATTGTAGTTTTTCTGGTGTCTATAGCCTGTCCCTGCAGGCATCTTCATTTATAAACACTGTCTATTCTAAGGATACGCATTGTTTGCATTACTGCCTAGGGACACCTCCAGTGGCCACTAGAGACCGCCAGTAGAGGTGCTTCCTGATTGCCATTTAGTGTATCCACACTGAACGCTCCTCATAGAGATACATTGATTCAATGCAGTTCTATGAGAAGATGCCGATTAGCTAAGGCGATGTTTGGCCCCACTCCGCCTCCTTAGCTGAGATCATTAGAATTGACAGTCACAGCCAATCCAAAACTTTCCTTTGGAAAATCATTGAGATTTGGCTGAGATCATCCATTCTGATGATATCAGCCAAGGAGGTGGATCGGGCATGGGGCCAGCACCTATGGACCCACATAGTGCTGTAAATAAGGTGACTTTTCTTATTATTTAAGGGGGCAAGAGGGGTGCCAGGGACCCTTTATGTGTTTTAACACTATAGGGTCAGGAATACCTGTCTGTGTTCCTGACCCTGTAGTGTTCTTTTAATGTCAGTGCTGAATGTCATTTTGTTTTGTCCTGCCTTATAATTCCTAGAACAGTTTATATTACTTCTTGGGATTTTAAAGTGGCATTGTCATCTGAAAATTCTTTCCATTATTCAAACAATAATGTAAACATGGAATGACTGATGCTGGTTCATTGTGTGAATTGCATCACATTATTCAAACTCTCAATAAACATTACTGATAAAACAGATATGACCGAAGAGAGTATGTGATATTAGCAGCAAATACAAGTCTGTAAGTCTTTTGTGCAGGAATCATAAAATTATCCTAAAACTATCATTGATGCTCTGTGCCCCAATTTAGTAAAAAATTTTTTTCCAACAAACAAAAAAACAGCTGTGCAGGTTTAAAAATGTATAAACGTATGCTTTTTTTTTTTTCTTTCTGAGAGAGTCACATTAAGTATTCAGTTTTGTGTGCGGTTTGAGAGGCACCTTAGTTGCCAACTGGTAGAATGGATATACTTTGGTTGTCCTCCACCCATAATGAATCATACGGTTTACAAGTCTGGATCTGTCATCACTTTTAATGTTCCTGTAACAAGCTGCTGCAGCTGATTATCTCATACAGTACTCAGCTTATATACACTGCTATATCTTTACTTTCTCCTGTGATTCAAATATATTTAAGAGCATGCTGCAGACCTAATCATTGTGATTGTTGTGTGGTTTTTTTTTTTCAGTTTTCCCTTATGTTAATGCCTTTTCTAGCATTAAAAGAAGGCTGGGCATGTACATAGATTAACCCCTTAAGGACCGGGCTGTTTTTGCTATGGTGTACGTTAAGGACCAGAGCGGTTTTAACACTTTTGTGGTGTTTGTGTTTAGCTGTAATTTTCCGCTCTCTCATT